TGCGAGCTAGGATTGATTATTAAATAGGACATATTGTATTTTTGTATTGAAAAATGTTATTGAAACTTTTTTATTTTTTATTTTTTTGTATAATTTGACGTGTCATTAAAATGATTGGTCCTTTTAATTTATGTAAACCTGTGATATTGAATGCATTCACTCATTTAATGACATGTAAAAATTGTATAAAAAATGTGAGACAAAAAAATTGTCATAATACTAATAGCACCAAGCTGAATAGAATAGGTGTTATTGGTTTTGATTGCTTTTTTAAAAATAATCATTTGGATCAATTTTGGTTTTTAACTAAAAAATAAAAAAATTATTGTTATATTTTTTAATATTTTCTAATTTATTAATAGTTATTTTGTTAATTTCAATATTCATTAAAAAAACTAAAAATTATCTAAGTATATAAATAAATAAATAGAAAGTGGCATGAAACCTAAAACAAAATTAGAAACCATGTGTAACTGCACCAAATCAGAAGTCCTTTTTCAATTTGCGTCTTCACTTCGGATGAACCTGCAAAGCTCCGGGTGGGTCCTTAGGATAGATACTCCGATGCTTAAGTCAGCAATAATCAAATCTACCTTTTGAGGATAATTAAAGAGGAGTTTTAGGTCAATTTCAATTACCTTTTTGAGGTGGCCCATGGGGGGTATTTATAGGCCTTCGTGAGGTGTCCACATGGCTTGCTTAACAGAATAATCGGAGTGTGACATGTCTTTTAAGGCGATAAATTCGGGACCGAAAAATTAAGAGAAATTCTGGTGTGGGCATGCTTACCGTAACTGTCATGCAGCTATTTGACTCCAAAATGCTTCACTTCGGTTATTAAGGAATTATAGCAGTACGTCCGAGGCCCTTAACCTCGGATCTATCCTTACACTATTCACCCATCGAAATCATTCACTTATGAATGATTAGTGTGGAAGATGAGTGTAGATGGGGGTAGTCAATATAAAAATAAATGACATGAAGTTGTGTTTTATAGCCGTAGTTGAAGTAAAATTGCATGACATGGAGTCATGTGTTATGGTCGTAACCGAAGTAAAATTGATGACTCAATCACTGTGGCTAGAGCCGAAGTAATATAGGTGACGTGTGGTCACCATAGCAAGAGCCAAAGTAAAATAGGTGACGCATAGTCACTATGGCAGGAGCCGAAGTAAAATAGGTGACTCAAGGTCACTATGACTGGAGCCGAAGTAAAATATGTAACTCGGGACCACCATGGTCAGAGCTGAAGTAAAATATGTGATTCGGAGTCACTATAATTGGAGCCGAAGTAGAACTGGTGACTCGGTGTCACTATGGCTGAAACCGAGGTAAATAATGATGACCTATCCTTACACCATGCAAAATTTTATATAAAATATTTTTGGACTGAATATTTTTGTTATACTCACCTACCTATCAGTTTTAGTTTTTAGATGTAACAAGTAAAAGTTAAACTATTTAAAATTGATTAGATTTGATTTGTAATCAAAAAAACTTAAAACCTAATCCAACTCGGTTATGATTTTATCAGTTTTTAATTTTTGTTTTTTTGTTGTAGATTTTTCCTCCCATGCTTTGTTATTTGTAATATGAATTAATTTAAAAAATATGTATTCATAGGTTAAAAAGATTTCATATACATATTATAACAAGTACAGAGTCAAATGGAACACACATAATTTTATTTTTAATATATTAAATGATGAATTCTATAATAGTCATATTCTTTTTCTTAATAGTCATATTTTAAGATTCATAATTATTTTTAATTTAAAATTTTAGACTTTTAACTATTTTAACTATTTAAGGTACCCTTTTGTCCCTCAAAAAAAAAAAAAAAGGTACCCTTTTGGTGGACATAGATCACACATAATAATTCTCTTTAATTAGATGTTTTAGGAATCACACACTAACCTATCTTTGACTTGCTACAAAAATGGGGTTACTAGTACAATATATTTGAATTGAGAGAAATTAAAGAAAAGGGAGAGGAAGAGAAAAAAAAATTTTATTTACTTATTAAAAAAATTAAAAGAAAGGGGAGAAAAAATTTTCTTTTATTTTATTTTTAAAATTTATTTATTTATCTAAATAAAAAATAAAAAAATAAAAAAATACAATTTTTTTCTTCTTCTTCAACCCAAACATACGAGTAAAATCCAAACAATCATTGTCTTTTGAAACAAATAGAGTCTGAACACGATGTGTGGCACAAAAGTAATTGAATAGGTAAGGACTAAGAACGTGTTTGTCGGTGTGGTTATGGCACATGCAATTTTGTCTGCTCACATAATTTATTATTATTTTATTTATTAATAATTTTTTAAAATAATTCATTATAATATTTAAAAAATATTTATTTATAATTTAATTTTAATTTTTTAATAATAAATATTAATTATTTTATTAATTATTAATTATTTTAAATAATTAAATTAAATTAAAATTTTAATGATACTCCACTTTAACCAATTTAAGTATAGCGATAATGATAACCGTGTTTGTGGGGAACAAAGTTAGGAGAACATTTAAATCTAACAGGAAAGAGATACTGATGCAGACAAATTGTCACCATCCAGCATATTTCTTTGACCAGATCAGCCATACCAGTCCTTAATTATTTGGATGACTTTCCCGTATGGCAGCCGTGCACGATGGTAGGGAATAGAGCAACGCTACGTACAAGACCGATCGACCTTAAGA